GGTCAGTTTATGCTGTTTTATAATCCGCTTCGCGGATTATAAAGCGTAAACTGACCCAAACCAGGTTATACTCGAATAATTTGGCCAAGAATTAGAGTCATTCCTAAAATATACTTGTTTTGCATACTTATAGGATTAAAATAAATAAATAAAACACAAGAAGCTAAGAATGCAGATATTATTACCGTGGATTTAAAACCAGTAGAGCACCGCTTTGATTTGAAGCGACTTAAATCCCCAGGCATGCGCAGAGACCAGTGATTTGAGTCGCTCTTTTCCCTCTATATTCTATTAAAAGCGACCCTGAGCACTAGCGACAGAAATCACGGTTACACCGGCCCGGTGTCGCATAATATTTAGTCCGCCTCGTTTAAAGGCCCGGGGGGACCTAATACGATAACATATAAGGTCCAGCCTGCCTGTAAAATAAAAGGTCCGCCTTCGGTTTAATATGCAGATTTTTCTCCTTTACTGATTCGAAATTAATTTGCTTAATTAATCTTTTCATATTATTTAAGGTATAGTTGTTATAATAGTGTCTCTCCCAGCAAAATGGAGTTCCAGGGACGTACATGTACATTGTATTTATACTAACAGGATCAAGTCTTGCGATATCTCGCTAGTTGCTGAATTTCGTTAGTCAATTTCAATTAATTATATTTTTAATGCTATCAAATATTTCAGTACAAAACCTCAAATTATCTATCAAAAATTTATTCAAATTTTGATGTTAGCACTTAGCTTCTTATCTTAGTACATACCTCCAAGGTAGTGCACAATTAAAACAAAAAATATAAAAATGCAAAAGATCTGTTGATCGAGTTACCTTATGGGAAAATCATGTACGACTTGTGTGTTTTATAGTTTAAGTGATATCAATATTATCATTGCAAAATAATAAAAAAAAAAGTACATATATATATATATATATATATATATATATATATATATATATATATATATATATATATATATATATATATATATATATATATATATAATACATATACCTTCACTGGCACATTGTTCAGTATACAGTGTTCGTAAGTCCAACAATGATCATTTCATTACAGTCTCTTCCCTAACAACGTTAGACTTCCACTTCCCAAAAAGAATTTTCATATCTTTCGAAAGATATCTCGTTATATTATCAATAGTAATTATGCATAATTCTTACGATTCATATTGTAGCTAACTATAAAATAATTGGAGGGTCACAGTGACAGGGACTTGTGTTACGGTGTACTAGCCTATACCGTGTTGTTGTTAAAACAACATGTCTGTGCATTGGGGGTAGACCTATTGTCTCACTTGACGAAACTTGAAGTCGCATATCCCCTGTGTTTTTATAACCATCGTTTCTTATCCAGTTTAAGACTGACGATTATATCATTCTACTTAATATTAACCCGGGGATAACACAGGTTAAGGAAGATGTGCATTAATTGGCAAAATCAGACCAAAGTCAATCGAGTTGAACATTTTAAGCAATAACCCCCCCCCCCCCCCAAAAAAAGAAAAGATTATAAATGGTCTTCTTGTATTTTTGGTGGGTGGGGTATACAATGTAGCAAAATTATCCTGATACATGTCAAATAGTTTAAAAAGTACCGATGTTGTAGACTTTCCTCCCGCATTAATATTTTTTTCCCGGAAAAACGAGCTTGGGTTTAAAGACCACCCCCACCCCCCTTTTGGAAAAAGCCTAGCATAGGCTTTTATTTCCGGAATTTTTAAAAATATTGTTCATTTCATTTCCTACATTTTGTGTTTTTCATTTCTGACATTTTAAAGTTTTCATCTCTGACATTTATCATAAGGTACTTTTCCGGCAATGAAAACAGAATCGAAATTTCCCTTATAGAAAAAAAAAATAAAGAATAAAACAAGAATAATTCATTGATTTCCAAATAATAAGTTCTGCTTATATTTAAAAGAATTTTATGAAGATTTTATCCTCGGACACATGTAAGTGTTTTCTGCCTTCTACTATTCAGTTATGGAACAATTTACAATAAGAAATAAAATGTATTGATTCCTATTCAAGTTTTAAGAATATCCTTAAGAGACCTACTGTTGATAGAATAAAGAATGTCAATTAATTTTTAATTAATCTTTAATTATGGTAATCGCAAGGAAAACATTATACACTGTCAGCTAAGAAATGAATCGTAGACTAGTAATTCAAATACTCACCTGTTTAATTAGTACTTAAATAGCATCTTGTACTAAGTTCGGATATCAAAGCGAGGATAACTATGATCATTTTTTATTAGGATGTCCTGCCTATAATAATCAGAGAACTTTTTGAAAGTCTTCAGAGTATAATAGAATTGGAAACGTATTTACCCTCTCTCTTGATCACATTTTGCATACTTTGCTGTTTGGTGATAGGCAATTACCAAATAAAACTAACTATTCAATTTTTGAAGCAGTCCAACTGTATACGAAGTCTTCAAAGAGATTTTGATATTTTATTTTAAGCTTTATTAAATTTTCTTAATATTTTGATATTTATACCTACTTCAAATCTCAGCATTTCAATGTAGATAAATGTATTTTCCTTGCATATTTGTCTTTTGCACTTTCTTTATTTACCTATTCAGTTTTGTTGTTTGTTCCAATTTTATTTATTAATTTTTTTTTTATCTTTCCATGCATTTTGGTCTCGTACTTTTTAATTTACTTTTTCAGTTTTGTAATTTGCTGCACACTTTTTTCTTTTTCAATATATTGTATAATGAGAATATATGCTAGGTAATAACTCTTGTGTATAATTTATCTTTTTCATTTCTTCCTTTTTTGATTTATGTAAGAAATTACTATAATTTATTACGATCAATTTCATCATTAATTGTTAACCATTACACACCATTATTATCAATTTGTAACATTTGTATCCTTGACCTTCATGGAGAACACTTAAATAAGCTATGCTTGATGTCCAATCCAATAATGTGATTTGACTTTACATAATAAAATACTGATTAAATTAAATTGAGGCTGAAAATTTAGCCTTAAGTTTTGAACTGTCAGCAAACATAATAATGACAAGTCATTAACATCTAAAATTAAAAAAAAAAAAAAGAATATTAAGCTGTTTCATTTTTTTGCATCAGGTCGGACACTAGAAGATTTCGATAAACTTTTTTTTAGATAAAAAGTACTTAAATCACTTCAATCATGAGACCGAAACAGACAAATTACTTAATACAGTTCATTTAATCAGTACTTTACAGTTTGAGTGCATCTTTGTCATATTCACAGAATGTGTTCAAGGAAGCTCAGAATATCTAAAGAGTCAATAAAAATCACTGTACATTCAAATTTACCGAGTTAGGTACATGATATTAATTATCACACCTACATGCAGATAATATGTCATCCAGAATACATAACTGTGTAAAAGCTTTAACATTAATTGATCTGTATTTCATTTTTCACTAACACTAAACTCCCTTTTTCCTGATGAAATTCAAACTTAACCATCCATCTGAAATGACCCTTAATTGATGATTAAAGTGACCAATCTGGGGCTTTTCCTCCTCCTGGCAGTTCCAGGCGAAAGAATCTGGGGGAAGAAGACGAACCATGTGCCCATGCTCATTTTTCAGCTATGCAAGAACATTTATTGGAAAAAATCTCTCAATTGTTTGAATTTACTTAAGCATTTTAATGTTTACAGTAGTTCTCAAAATGATATTTATATTCTAAACAAGCTAAACAGTTGACTTTCATTTACTGTCACAAGTGTCTAACATGGGTAGGGACTTCTATTAATTAATCTGCATATTGAGTGTTAACACTTATTGTGGAGATATTATAAAAATGTTAACATTGTATATAATGATAGTGGTGATCTAGAAGCGCTTGTAGAAAAAATAAATAAAAACGGGAATAAAAGTATTCAAATATCTATTATAATTTTTCCGGCATTTTAAATAATTTACTGTAAATGAGTTCATTACTATATATATATATATATATATATATATATATATATATATATATATATATATATATATATATATATATATATATATATATATATATTGTTTCCAGTGAAAAATATGTTATTCCTATAGACACTTTTTATAGAGTAAAACAAAATTAACCCCCTCCCCAAAAAAATAAAAAAAATCATGACTCGAACACTTTCCTCAATAAACGTCCCTTTAGAGAGCTCCTCGCTAACCACTATACCACGGAGTCACACATACATACCCATTTAAATAGCATACAGTTCTTTATATTTAGCAAGCGCATTTGGACTTAGAATTTTTCAAGACCAAGGTGAAAATTTAAGTAAGTTAACTTAATTTTTTATGTAGAGTGGGTCTTCGTACCAAATTTTTGCAAGTGTAAAAAAGCAACATCTTTCCATTGCCTTTCATTAATCGTTCTCAAAAAATGGTACGATGACCCACTCTATTTAAAAAATGCAGTTATATCATCCAATTTATGTCAGTTTTTTGTGAAAATTGAGCGTGATGCCATTTTTGTATGCAAATGGTAATAAGCATTATTCAACAAAAAGTGAATTTTTTTAAAAAATGAATTTACTGATTTTTTGTCCATCGTTATGTAGGCATATGGCTCGGCTTATCCTCCCAGTTTCTTTTTGTTTCAATTTTCCTGCCATTTTGCGCCGGAAAATCTGAACTTGCAAATGGACGACAGGAAAATAGCAATGACGCCTGTAAGAAGCCTCTTCTACTCAGGCTAACTTTTCAAAAGTTTGTCTCCGCCTCAAGTACGCCCGGAATATGCCAAATCCTGCCTGATTCAAACTATATTCCAGGCAGAATCCACCTTTAAAATATATACAGGTTCATAATGCCATGCTTAGGAGGAAAACATTTTTAAAAAAAGAGGAAAATCCTTGGCGCAAAACTTAATGATTCTACTAAAACTTCGCACAGAAGTAATGTATAATAACATACACAATTCTAGTACTGTGTGGCAATTTGAACAACAGATTTTTTTCAGTCTTTGGGATATCTTGTTAGGTATTATCTCCCTGTCTTTGATTTGACATTTTTGGTTTAAATTCAAACCAATTCACGAGAACATTCATTAATGGATCACTCAACCAGATTGGCAGATAGAGATATATAAATGGGAGAGACTTGGCAAGAAATCCACTGTAGTAATGGGACTGCGGTTTGGGGGACAGCAATGCATCTTCAACACTTTTACATATATCCGAAAAATCAGCACTAAGAAATCTTTCTCGATCTAAAAAGAATAAAAAAGTTCAATAACAAATGCTATACATTAACTCATATTGCAGAGAAGAAAACCGACATAAGCTCTTCTCCAAATTCATAAGAAACTAGTAAGTGTACATAAGCCCTTTATAAAACATATGCATTTTTTTGAAATACCGCATACATTTTTTTCTTCAGCCTCTCCATTTTGTCTTTTCTTTTTTTTAAAAGCAAAAATGATTTTGTTGCATCAAAACGGTGTTATCAGATTCAACACAACAATTTAGCTATTTTACAACAATACATAAAATCTCTAAAGCGAAAAGGCAATTTATCTGTTAATTGTTATTTGTTCTGGATTTTTTTGATTGCTTAAAGTCCTTGAGACGTTACCAGTTGCTGATACTGATATCATTACCGAAACTACTAGATTCACCCCTCCTTAAATGGTCTTCACTTTAGGTATCAACTTAAAGGTAATTTACATTTGTCACTTGCAGAGCACAGCACGAAATGTAACAGAAAAGAAGTATGACTACCGAGATATGAACATGTACTTATGTATCACAAGCTAGGTGTTCTAACCGCTGATATAGCTATTCTGATACCATCGGCATGAACAACTATATTTATAAAGCTCAAGTCCTAATATTATAATAAAAACAGAAAAAGGACATTTTTTATTCAAAACCCTTGTTTCTTGAGCTCCTCTTACGGGAAGGGGGGGGGGGGGGTGGCCAAAAAAACTTTTTACCTACAAAAAACCTGGTTTCCCGAACTTCTTGTCCATATTTTGCAGTAGAAATGTACTTTGTAATGTGGTGTGATTTTGAGTGTCTTACGGGAAGGGGGGGGAGGTGGCAAAAAAAAAAATTTTACCTACAAAACCTGGTTCCCTGAACTTCTCGTCCATACTTTGCAGTAGAAATGTACTTTGTAATGTGATGTGATTTGGAGTGTCCTGTAAATGTGCAATAAGGTTTGGAATTTCAGTTTTCACACTGGAGGCAATTGGGAGTCCAAAAACGATTTTTTTCTTTTAAAAAAACTTAGTTCTCTGAACTTCTCCTCCAATTTTTGCACTATCCCATCCATTATTTATATTGTTTTGTGATTTGAAGTGTCCTATAGATGTGCATTTATACAATTGAAATTACGATTTTCACCATGGAAGCTATTGGGGTCAAAATTTTTTTTCTTGCATAAAACCTGGTTCCCTGAACTGCTCATACAGAAATCGGAGTAGGCGATTTATATTTTAGAATGCGATTGGGAGTATCCTGTAAATGCGCATTTCAATTTCGGAATTTCAATTTTCACCCTGGGGGAGGGAAAGGGTTAAAATAGCGTTATTGAACAAAACCTTTGTTACCTAATCTCCGCCTACATCTTTTGCAGTAACCAACTCATTCGTTTGGAAAACGATTAGTAGGGCCCTGAATATGTGCAATAGGCTTTCGGATTTCTTGGGGTTTTCATCCATTTCTTGCAAAAACCCATTCACGTTTTGGAATATGATTAGGAGAGTCCTGCAGATGTGCAGTAAGGTGTAGAATGTCAATTATAACCCTTGGGAAAAGTTAGGGTTGAAAACCCTTTTTTTCAAAAACCTAGATCCCTGATTTCCTCTCATATTTTAATGGAGTAGACTACTCATCTTCTGGAATGCGATTGACAGTGTCCTAGAGAAGTGTAACAAGATTTTGAATTTTAATTTTCACACCAGGGCCGATTGGGGGTCAATTTTCCTGCAAAACCATATTCCTTTAACTTCTTTAACATTTTTCACAGTGGCCCATTAATTTGAATTATATTTGGGAGTGTTTTATACATGTGCAGTTAGGTTTTTGAATTGAAGGATGAGTTCAGGCCTCTAAGTGATCTCTAAAATTTATGCGCTAACGACTCCCAATTACAAAAAAAATTAGATGGTGGGTGTCTACTGCAATCTGGAAAAAGTACAGAAAAAATCAACATGAAATATAAGTCAATTAATTGTCAAGTGGTTTTAACTGAAGCAAGCATATAAAACTCCGTTGTCTCAAGCCACTGTACGGAGTTCGCATATAGTGTCTCCTACCGGCCAGAAAGGGAGAGGATGGTACATTTTAGCCGTGATTTCCGACGATAGTAAAAAGCTTTTAATCGATCATTTCTTTTTTTAAGAAACTTGGATCTAAGGAAATATTCTTTCAAACTATAATAATATCAAGGATTCTTTACACGATTTACATTTTATGCTCTCCGTACAATTACGAGCTAATACTAATGTGTAGACGATATCTCTAATGACTGAGAATCTTATTGACAAACAATTGACACATCACCTGTCCAATCTACTGCATTTCACAGTTGTCGATTTTCTGGAGCCAACAATTACCTGGGGCAGCTATTTTTTTTAAATGGTCTACATAACCTCTGTGTGCACTGACGCGACGCGAAATTTCGTTCGAACGCGTGTGACTGAAAAAAGAAACAAACAAGGTCACAAAGAAATCGCAACACATGTCCAATATTAACTCTAAAACTTTTTTCCTCTTCATATGAAAAAATGGTGAAAATGATAATAGTTCCGGTATTGGACGATCGCCATGTCAATTTAAAACGGTCGCAAATTTGATGACTTATAAATTCTAGGCGTCAATCAAACATTTTATGTGCCATGGCAAATAAATTTCTCGCCAGTTACACGGCCAGGAACACGTAGGTTCCTTTACAGTAACGTTCTCAGAGACCTTTAAAGTTAAGCACTAAAATTGGTTTGTTGTCATGACCTCACAGGTGAGGTTAAGATAATGTCCGTCCGGTGTCATTCAAAATATGCAAGAATTTTTACTGAATGTATAAAAAATCATGTTTTTGTTCAATTCTAGGAATACACTTAAGTATTGGGAAACAGATACAGCATTCAGTATTCAGGACAAAAAGTCATGTCTCTATTATCCTATATATATTCCGAGTAGTTTTGATTGGCGAATACATACCATGGTGTAAAAGCATGGATGTGCGGTGAAAAAAAATATATTTTTCGTCGTCAATTTATTTAAAAAGCACTTTAATTTCGTAGTTTGAAAAGTAGCTCTATTTTCATTTCATTAGACAAATAACAGCCTTTTGCAGAACGCATACTATATGAGAACTTGACATGTTTAAGCAAAATGTCCGTTGTCAGTACATGTTAGCTTGATATGGTCCGGTGTCACTTGTCTTCACGTGTAAGTCTGTCTATGAAATGGTGCGGAAATGATCAGATTTAAGTCACAAAATATCGGGAGAGGGGTTGGTCCCCAACTTAAACTTATACTGTTTATTTAATTAGTATGAAGTCAACGTATTCTTTGAAAGGTCGGTCCCCCCCCCCCCCCCTTTTTTTCAGTAGAGTCAATTCTCTCATTCTCTCGTCCAAGAAGTTGGAAAGTAAGCCCCCCCCCCCAATAGGATTTTCTTCTCTATATGTAGTTTGTCAAAGAAATTTCAGGTAAATTACCAATTACTGTCCTAGCCCCTCCCCCACCTTTCAAAAGCGATGCTATATGCCTGAAGAGATAACAGATTTGAGCAAATATCATGATGATTGTAGTAATAATTTTAAATTTTGTTGGTTGTCTGAAAGCAGCTCAAAGTTCAACGATTTGAAATTAAGAAAATGCAAAAAAGTAATTTCAATTATAATTCTACTAGGTACGTGCATGCATTTTGGTGTGCATATCAGCAGCACCAAATAAAAATCAAAATAGACATACTGAATAGTATGCGTTTTATTTTACTATTCGTAAAGAAGTAAAGATAATTTTATGAGTTATAAAGTGAAATATTGTCAGTTGTACACGATGCCAAAGTCTGTTGGTTGGCTACTTGCTTGCTTTAAGTCCCTTGAACACTACTGACTGCCTAATGAGGGATGCTTTAGATCTGTACTCGGCACTTGTGGACATAGAACAGAAAAAGATTTATTTCATAGCCAACATCCGTCTACTGTATTTATGACCGGTTTTCCTTTCCAACATCTTTTCCCTCTGTTTTCAGGTATAATTGATAAATAGAATGCATTAAACAGTACAAATGTTGTATACTGTACAATTCTGACAACAGACCGATGACAACGGACTGAATTTTCGTAACTTGTCATGACAACGGACATAATTTGAATTATAGCAAAAATTTTCAGTTTTACTTTGCTTTGATTTTTATTTCAGGGGATAACAATACCTCATAATATTACCTGTACCTAGTGTTGGGTATTGTTTAGTGTATAAAAGAAAAATATGTTCATTTCAAAGAAAATTAAAACAAATCAAAATATGTTTTAAGCAGGGTGGTGTATCGCCAACGCAAACTATTGTAATATAACCTGTTAATATCTGACGTTATTGATGTACTAACAAATATATTGTTAGCTCGGTTTTCCATCGCAATTTGAGGGATTGTAATAAATTCACTCACTTGGAAAATGAAATAAACTACATGTAATTATTAGTTCTCTGAATTTATGACAGCGGACGGATATCATCTTAACCAAACCTGTGAGATCACGACAACAAACCAGTTTTAGTGCTTAACTTTAAAGGTGCTTAGACACAGATTTGAAGTTAATATTTACTCAAATTTTCTGTATAATTTCATGACTTATATGTTGCTATAGCATTTCATACGAAAATTTGATAAAAATCTTATTTTAGCTGGAAGTTATTGATACTTCGAATTTCTGGACGCGTTTGATAGACACATCCTTGCAATTTCACAAATTTTAACTCTATCCTTATTACTTTAGAAAAGTAGCAATTTTGTTGTTTATTAATGAAAAATATTAAAACTATAATGCAGAAATTTCAGAGTAGAAATGTAGAAAGCAAAATCCTCTCACCAGTATTGTCAGTCCGTGCTCAGTAGTGTGTGCAGAGTTTAACAATTGAACACACTCGGTGAAACGTAAACATTAACAAAAACAGAGCTCGTGCTCTGTTTACAAAAACAGTTTACGTTTAACGGGTGTATTCAATTTGTTAAACTCTGTACACAACTACACAA